CGGCTGCTTGGTGTTAAGAGAGTGTCAAAAATAATGAGGCACATACCATGCGCTAATGGTGTCCCAGTGGTTTAGTGGACTAAAGCGCATACTGTGTACTCACAACATTATGCGACGGTTTTCCAGGACAGGGAATGTCTGGTCCAAACTTATGGTGTTTTTTTTTAGAGAACATTTCCACTAAACTTATCCTTTAGTTACGGGTTCGTTTTATTCCATGTTCTTAAAGCTGGCACTAAAAGTTTTGAACAGTTCAGATTTATCTTGCACATCAGGAACTTTTTCACTTTAATACTTTTGTTCTTTATAAAAACCAAAATAAAACCAAAATCCTATAAAATTATTTCAAATAAATAAATAATGGTATCAAGTCTCCGTACCTGGCGTCTTTAAAGTCTACAGCTAAAAAAAAAAAAACAGCTTCAAATACTGCTCTCGCGTAAATGAATAATGACCATATTTTGCAGCAGGGTGTGGACTTCAAAAGAATTTCCCTGTACAGACTACCAGGTTAAAGGACAGAAAGTGAATAATGTGTTGTGGCTCTACTGTCATGACCTGTAATAAGGGCTTTTGCATGTCCTTTGGCAAATCTGTGGCATAAATAAACATTTCTGAGACCAAAGGGCCTGATTCTCTGTCTCCTTGAGGATGAGAATAGTCACAGGGGCAGGAGCGCTGCCGCCTCTCTGATGATAATAATAGCAGGTCTTGAATGGTAATTGGCCTCTGGTCCCTCCTCCATTGCTACCTGGTAGAGGCCATTGCAAAGAGTGATTCAGGCACCAGGCATGAATGGAAAACTCCGGGAGGAAAGCTGCACATTGACGCACCGGTACCTCCAACACAGCCTGGTGCACCTCAGTCATCCTCCATTACACCAACACATTCCTACACACATACAGGCACGCACGCAAAACATGCATGTACCCCCACCCTGACAGGCACAAACATCCATCTTGATGAGTATGAATGACGTGACAGAACTATTTACAGGCAACAGCAGCTACTTTGTGACCATCATTCAGATGAAAGATCAACAACAAACAGCTGACCTGTCAGCTGAACTTTTTGATTACCCCGTGGTGCCAGAGAGACCCCTAATGCAAGCTGTCCTATCTTGAAAGAGTTCATTTTTATCAAACAGGGCATCATCTGTAACCAATAGACGGCCTCCTCTTACGAAATGAGAGCCTGCTCGACAGATGTCTCCTGCCTCTCTCACTCTCTCTTACTCCCCATTTACATCCACATCTTAGATGGCACCTCTTGACTTAAGTCAAGATCAAGGTTGTTTACTGATTCTCTGGGTAATATCAGGAACATGTGGTGAGGGCACATGAAAGGAGCTCTACAGTGTGTTAACACCCCAAAACCTCTGTACATGTTTGTTTTTGGTTTTAAACAATAGCTTCAACATGAAATTAAGGGGACATTCTTCCGGAGGCTCGCCTCAAGGTGACACAGAACAGAAGCTGAGGTTTTAAATGTTTTCATAGGGGCAGATAGCCTCAAAGCTCTCAAGCATCACAGCCACATCGACTTGTAAATGAAATTGTCATTGTGTTAATTCAAGCAAAACTCTCAATATATGGAAAAATAACATAAATGGTCTGCACTTTTATATATGGCACTTTCACTCAAAGGTTTCTCTTTCAGTAAAAATCAATACACAGAATGTCAAAATCTAATATTGTCTTTTGAAAAACAAACAATGGCTGCAAAATGTGTACCATATGAGAAATTACAACCCATTAACACAATATAGACAAAGGTTCCCAACATTCCCAACACCTGAGTTGTATCCCATGCATTTCCAATTCCCTCCCTGTCCTGGCTTTTAGCAGATTTCCATAATGAAGCACTTTGTGGCACAAGACCACTAAGTCCGAAGCTTTGCTGTTGTGACCTTCACAGGATTTAGTCCTGTTGGGTCCCACAATCCCTAACCTGTCATTGTGTGTTTTATGCTGCGTGGTGCTATATAGTTTGCGCTGTCTGTGTGGGAGAAGGTGGCAATTTAAAGGAATTTAAAGAAACTCTTCTATGATATATAAAAGTTTTATAGATGGTGATCTCTCCTTTGTTCTTCCAATGAGGACCTCCACCTGTTTCTGATGATGTGAGCCAGAGCCTGTCCCTTTCAAGAGGCTGATCCCTCCTGATCTCTTTGATGTAACCTGACCTAACAGTTCCAACTAGCAGGATTTGATGATCACGGATGGACCCTCAACAACAGCATGTGCAAATCAAAATTAACAGGCATGGGGAGATGAACGACGGGGATGTGTGAGCAGAACTGGCAGGCTGCGTAGACAGAGACGGCTCACGGGGCTGTGATGTGTCTAAACGCCAGGCAGGCAATGGTCACATGATCAATGCTGCCAGCCCAGACTTAAGCAGTAAAACCTGTGGATCTGTGAGGGCACATGAAACTGATCGGAGATGAAAGACAAGCTTTGACTTTCACAGGAGGCCTGCAGTTGGGGTGGGGGCTATGGGGGCACTTCTGAGGGACTGCCATCAGAACAGCTGGGTCATTTTCAAATGACCTAATTCTAGGATTAATCCATTCAGACTTGCATGGTTAAATGTGTGTCTATGCTACACAGGGAGGATGGGAGGCATAGAAAAAGGGGGGAGAGAGAATTACAAGTGAAAGCCAGAAAGGCTTAGTGATTGGAGTTCAAACAAGGTGCACAGTAGAGAACAAACCACCGTGCACCAACGGTAGCAGAGCTGACAAGTGCTTCTAAGTTTGTCTCCCGCCTCATACTGTTAGGTCACTGTAAAACAGAATCCTTCATATTCTCTCTCTGAATCTACACATTTAGATCCCACCACCAAGCGCGAGCATCTGCAGCTCACACTTCTTCGGTCAGAGGACGTTTCACCGCCAGGGCATCTCTTCGTGGTAGTGTGAGTGTGTCAGAGGCCAGCGTCCATCTGCGAGTGATTTAAGGGTTACATTTTTGAGGATGACGTGTGATAAAACAGGGAGGTATGGGTCAAAGTGACTAGACTCAATCTGTGACAGAGCCTCTCCTCCTGGGCCCTACCACATGTTTTAATCTATACAAGCATCTGTTTGAAGTTCCCAATGAATACCATCAGTCCCGCTGGTGACTTCATATCCATCTACCTGGCTCAAAACAGTTTGACATCCTTTATGCACACTGATTAGCCATGGGGCTGGGAAGGTTTTTTCTCAAACAACATGAAGCTGTTTTACCCTGATGATGTTCTTTTTGTTGTGTACGACTGACCTGTCCGAAACGCACTAATTTGGCTGACCTTCTGTCAACATTTTCAAACCTTATCACATCTTTTTCAAGAGTAATTATTGTAGAAGAAGTTAGAAGTTGCAAAAATGAAATGCTCAAGTTAAATCTGTTTATTAAAAAGGGGAAAAGAAATCTGATCAACTTTCCACTGATAATAAGTGACCTGACTGACAGCATGTGCCAAACTAAATTTTACAGTTCAGTGATGGTGCCCTTATGGGTTGTCAGTCACAGTCATAAAGATTCTCTTAAAATCTGTCCCGATGTCTGAAGAAACATGGCTCAGTTAACTACAATGGCATCACAATACTAATACGGTCTTGATCAATAACCTATCGTAGGCTGGGATTTATGCCAGAACAGTTGTAGACATGACGAAAAGTGGAGTAAAATCCTTTTAACGGATCTTCATAATACTATCACACAAAAGTGTGCACAAGCACCATGTCACTTCCCCACAACGTGCGGTACGACTGAGCTGTCAGTCTGTTTCACACAATCAGAATGAGCTCCAACCAAAGACAACAGTCATCAAACAACCATCATGACGTGTTACCTTGTCGAATGATTGCTTTTGCCCCGCGAGCTACACTTCAACTTAAATGTGTCCTTAAAATGAGAGGTTGTTCGAGGGAAGCCTACCTCAAGCGTAACGAGGCATTCCTGTGTTAAGAAGCTGGCTTCCCATCAGGATGCTCGACTTAAAATATACAGTAGAGCAGGAAAGTTTGGAAGAGATTGAAGTAGAAGGGAGGAGGCGAAAAGGAGGGAGAAAGAGTGATGGCTGCTTTGATCTTTAGAGGCCCAGTCTGGATTTTTTTTTTTTTTTTTTTAAAGTGTCTAAGTCCCTTTTTCTGAACATTCAGAAAACGCAAAGAACTAAACTAGTTAGATCTGGAACTGAATTCTTACAAAGAGGTATGAGGATGATGGTGACAATAGATGATTCTCTCTGGATAGTTATTACCTTACTCTCACAGGTACAAAAACACCACAAACTGACACATTAACCAAAGTTGACTTGTGACATTGGTGTCACAAGTCAACAAACTAATAATAACAACAATAATTAGCCGGTTAAGTCTTTACAAATAAATAAACTCTCCCTTTTCTTGGACAAATATTGTTTGAACTCTGCACTGATTTTGTTTTTGTTTTTTCCCACTTGCTTTTCAGGCAAGTGTGTAACAAGATGCGTATTCTCACTTCATAAATTTGTGGTGGAATGGGAAATGGGCATTTCAAGGCCAATAAAAGCCACCACATCAAATAAAACATTGCGGATCAAAAGAACCAACGCATGGACATTTTTTCCCTCTATAAATTAAAAAGGGGGGCAGTCTGCCACGCTTGATCATGCCCTGAGTCCTGCCCCGCTCCTGCGATTGGCTGGACAGACACACAAGGGGGGAAAGTTTGAATAAAATACAAGAGCATGGCACCAGTGTTGTCGTTCAAGCTGTGCGCTTGATCCAGAAGCGCTTGAGTTGTACAGCAGAGCTGAGCAAAGGCTGAGAAAAGTTTGAAATAAATCCAGACATTTAAACGGATGACTGTGATTGAAAAACATAAAGTTTGCGCGTTTAGGAGCTGATAGAAGGTGTTGCTGCGTCTCTAAACTCGTGCGTAATCCCCGTACGCTTTCCAGCTCCATCAGGACAATTTGCTGTATCCCTCTGACGGACGGTGCATTCACAGGAGGAAAGACGTGTGAAGATGACAGCGATCAGAATGGTTTCATCAGTGCTGCTGCTGGTGCTGATGCAGTCCGGAGCTCTTTGCGCACGGAGGTTCCGGGGTGGCCGCAACCCACAACCACGACGCGCACCACCTCCTCCCACATACCGGGCGGACCGGGGTGATACCACGGAGAGCTTCCCTCTGGATTTCACCGCGGTGGAGGAGAACATGGATAACTTCATGACGCAAGTCAAGAACCTGGCGCAGTCCCTCTACCCGTGCTCGGCGCAGAAGCTTGACTACGACATGAAGCTGAACTTTTTGGAGAATACATCTGTCACCTGCAACGACGGAAGTCCCGCGGGGTATGTACCGATTGAGATACGGAGTGATAAAGTGTGATCACCAGGTGAGCGGACCGCCGGCTGGTCAAAGCGGGATCAGCTGCGCAACCTGGAGCAAACAGGAACTGTTATTTTGTTTAAAGAGTACTTGAGCAGGGCGCACCCCATCCTGATGGTCAACCTGCTACCCCAAGTACCCCACATGTATCTGGCCTGAGGACAAAAGTCTCCATAGAGTTGCTCAGTTTTCGCCCAATTTCATTTTCGATTATTAACTATTTAAATGTTGAAAAGGGTGAACAGTAGATGAATAAGAACACGGCAGATGATAAAAGTCGAAACAGAGCAAAGTCCTAATGCAGACTATGGCTCAGTCGGAATGAGATAGACAGCTGCTTTGCGTCAGCGAAGCGTGAAATTTGCGGATAGCCACACGGCCTATGCTTCATTTCCTTTGCTTCAAATTAGAATGCAGGATTTGCTCTGCAGAAAGTTTAGATTTTAGTTTGCAGACCCCCGCCCATCTTTCTCTGTCCGTCTGTCTCTCTGGTGATTGTACACAGAGCTTAGACTGTTGACATGTGATTTTAAAGCAGTTTGGTTTCACTGGTCAGCTCCAAAATACACCGGGTTTTTTTGTCAATAGCCCTGTTAGTTTAAAGTTAGGTTTTCTGTGTTTCTGTGTTTGGTGTGTCACCTATGGATAGCTGCATCTGTGCGCAATGATCTCCACTGTTGACATTGTTGTTAAGCAGAAATCCATTTGGCAGCAAGAAAGCCGACATGGTTTCTCTGCGCATAAGGAATGAGCAGCATCAGACAGATCTAGTCTCTCCCTTTGTTTAATACCTAAACACTGCTCAGGTATACAGACTGTTTTTGAATTTAGTTGCAGGGGTTAAACTGATTTCTGTATAAACAATCCTGATAAGTCAAGTAAAAAGTCTAATTTGTCACATTCATACACGTCTTTCACATCCAAGTCTTTTCACTTGTATCTCAAACTGTCAGCACATGATGCTGCCTCAAAGGTTTTGAAATATTGCACAAGCTGTGCCACAATAAATTACATGCCCCTAATTTACTTGTAACAGTCCCACAGCAGACAGCAACATTATATAAAGTCTTTTAAATTCTTTAAATGTTGTTCATGCCGCATTGTGAGAGTTTGATGATCTTCATTGTTAACATCTGAGAGCAGTTTGGTTTTGGATCAACTTAACCAAAATGATGTTTGATATACATGTCAATTTATGGATTTACAATCCTGTCTAATTCCTGTTAAACCCCAAAGTGCCGGGTACAAAAAGCTGTCTGTTAGCGCAGTAAAGCTCTTAGGTCTTTAGAGACGCGGCATGAGGACGAGCGCAGGGAACAGTTACTGGCAGATGGGCTTTTTATTCACTGTGGCTGTTATCAGTTAGGATGCCAATCCATCCAACACTATTTTCCAGAGAGGTATTGTCACAGTTACATATACATACTTCGAAGCGTAGTGGAAAGCAATCATTTAGTGAACTGGAATGGTTGAACTGTGTGATTCATCTCCTGGAGTTGCACTTGTTAGAGTGAGTAGGTTGACACAGCACCTTTCCCTCTTGGCTTGAACAGCATGCCAAGAATGCCTTCACTTTGTTGTTTGGAAGTGTAGTGCACTGCCCTCAGCCTACATCATTGACTGTGACTGGCAATAATAGTATAAAACATTGCACGCAGCCAAAGTGTGATTCAGTGTCTGAGCAAGCAGCTCCGAGCTTCAGCCAAGTCTGTTTTCTTTAAAGTCACTGAAATGTATTTGGCAATCTCTTGTGTTGAGTCATTCGTAAAACTGAATTAAAAAGAGAAAAAAAAGAAGCATCTGCATCACAAAAACACATTTAGAAGGCTTTTGTTTCTGTGGCTAAAGCTACTTTACGCATGAGAAATTCAGAATTTGCCCTATGTGATTTTTTCCTCATATATATGTATATATATATATATATATAGCACCATGGGAGAATCATGATAGCATTGCCCTCTTCTGGACCGACAGGCACATATCTCTTGCATTCTAGCAAGCGTTAACTTCTTCTTAAGGTCCCAGTCTGGCACAATAAATACCTCAGATTCCACTTATCTTACCCAGGAAACTTTTAAGGTTATTACCTTGGGCACATGTGGGTCCTACGTGAGTGTGTGTCTACAAAAGCAAAATACAGATGTCGTATTTCTCTTATCATATCATTTCTTTGGGTGGGAGCCTTGATTTTATCCATGCTTTGCGTAAAGACGGAAGAATGATGAGCTCTGAATAAAAAGATCATGGTACACTACCGATCCTTGAGGAAAACCATCTACTGGTATCTACAGTACAAACAGGATAGGGGACAGGATGATGTTTATCTCCTGTTCGATCACTATATCAGTTTTCCCAAGTGCAGCGTATACACACAACCTCATTGTTCCCTTCTGTGATCTCAACAGATTTATGTTGGCGGAATTTCTGTTTTGCTGTTTTGTGTCACCTTTTAAAGATTGTAATCGACAAAGTTAACAGGACATTCTTGTTTGTGTTAAAGGGATGATGTCACATTTGTTTATGTTTTATGCTTGGATACCATCACTGATGTAGAAACAGTAAGGGTATTACTTTTCAGTGGGTTTTTTTTTGGTCTTTCAAAGTTGTGAAATGAGACTCTTACTGTTGATATGCTGTCATGCAGGCAGTAAGAAATAACCCTTAAAGAAATCAGGATCAGATTCACATATTTTTAAGATCTGCGTGTAACCTAACCATAGTGCCTGCTACAATGTGCTTATTTTATATGTGTTTTTTGGTTCTTGTAGGTACTACCTAAAAGAATCTCGAGGCAGCAGACGGTGGTTGATATTCTTAGAGGGTTGGTATTTTGCAAATTTAATTGATTTCATTATGTTTCTAATTTTATGACCAAAATTATGATGATGAATAATTTGAAACAGTTAATGTGAGAAATGATCAATGTTGTGTTTTTTTTGTACATCTGTGTCCAGGCGGCTGGTACTGCTTCAACAAGGAGAACTGTGACAGTCGATATGAGACTATGAGGAGATTGATGAGCTCCTCCAAGTGGGCCCAAACTAAAACAGGTCAGCCTCAGCTGGTTTGTACAGTTTACTGCACTCCCATCAGCCCTGCCGTTACTCTACCTGTGGCCTGTAGCAAATCCTGATCACAAGGTCAAAAACATACCCAGATCCCACTTAAAGACCTCAGCAAATAAAAAGATCGGATGCATTGGTGCTCATTTACAGTGTTATTAAGACCGACACCCGGTCATAATGTTGCTGCGTTGTAGGGCTACCTGGCGCCCGCTGCTATAGGAACAGAGACGCCTCCCTCTCTCATTGCGCTGTAATAACTGTAATCCATGTGGTAATGATGATGAGTAAGAAGAGGATGTGTCTGGGGGAGTCAGGATGGCTAATGATACATGTTGATCCGTCTCTGCAGGCACGGGGATCCTGTCTCCATTGCCTGAGGAGAACCCTCATTGGTGGAATGCCAACATGGTGTAAGTTGACTCGCGTTTGTCTGCTTGTTGATGCTCATTTTTCAACTATAACTGGTGACTTGAACTTTATGTTGGCTGTGCAGGTTTATTCCGTACTGCTCCAGCGATGTGTGGAGTGGCGCTACAGCCAAAACAGAGCAAAGTAAGAGTTCAGTAAATACTCACAATCATGACCAGAGCTGCGAGTCATTCTCCTTCAATGCACTATCCTCACAATAAAAGCAAAAATGTCCATTCTTAAGAAGTGTTATTCTACAGTTCCTCTATCTCTTTCTGTTGCAGATGGTTATGCCTTTATGGGCTCACTGATTATTCAGGAGGTTGTGAAGGACCTGCTAACCAAAGGGCTGGACAATGCGAAGGTCCTCCTCTTAGCCGGAAGCAGGTATGTTCACATGTAAAACATTCGTGTGAGGTTTTAATTCACACTGCATTGTTGCATGGATACTTATGGGTATTTCTGTGTGCAGCGCGGGCGGTACTGGGGTTCTTCTGAATGTGGATCGTGTAGCAGAGCTGCTGGAGGGACTGGGGCACACTGGGATACAAGTGCGAGGTCTTTCTGATTCTGGCTGGTTCCTCGACAACAAGCAGTACCACTGCACTGACTGTGTGGACACTGTCAGCTGTGCCCCCACTGAGACCATCAAAAGAGGCATCAAGTATGAGATCATATTGAAATGCTAAACGGCATTTTGTGAGCTAGACCAGTATTTTAGTCAGGGCAGATTATCATGTCTTATCTGCTCTTTTTACCATCTTTGTCAGGTACTGGGGAGGAGTGGTACCAGACAAATGCAAGCAAACACACGAAGGGGAGGAGTGGAACTGTTTTTTTGGATATAGAGTATTCCCATCAATAAAAAGTGAGTTTGGGATCTCCTTTGTTACTTTTGACATCAGTGTGAGTCCAAATGTCTGTGTGGTACATTTGTGATTAGACTGAGGGCACATGTAGAGCTGTATCTTATATCACTCTGCTCTGTTCTTCCTGTGCAGGCCCTGTATTTGTGGTCCAGTGGCTATTTGATGAGGCCCAGTTGACAGTGGACAACATCCAGCTAACAGGGCAGCCTGTGCAAGAAGGCCAGTGGCGCTACATCCAAAACCTGGGCATTGAGCTGAGGAACACACTCAAAGATGTCCCGTAAGGCCGTGACTCATTTTAAAAGAAATACTTAAGTCGGATTACAGAACAGGTTCAGACTTTTTTAAAATGTTTTTTACTTTTTTCTTCAGGGCCATGTTTGCTCCAGCATGTCTATCTCATGAAGTTATCACCAGGAAGTGAGTATGATTCAATATTTAATGCTCCCTCTTCAGTGTATCACAAAGCTTTGCCTATGAGACTTTCTAACTGTAAGCTGACAGCGCCCCCTTGTGTTGTGATTTAGCTACTGGATTGACGTGCAGGTTAAAGGCACCTCCTTGCCCCGAGCGCTGCACTGCTGGGACCGCAGCCTCCATGACAACAGGAACAACAAAGCGCCACCCAAAGGCTGTCCTGTGCATCTCATTGACAGCTGCCCGTGGCCACACTGCAACCCCACCTGCCCGACCATCCGAGATCAGTTCACAGGACAAGAGATGAACGTCATTCAGTTCCTCATGCACATGGGCTTTGACGTACAGAAAATGGCCCAGCAGCAGGGTATGGACCCCAGCAAGCTACTGGGCATGCTCAGCAGCGGCAGCTAAAGGGACACACATACACACAGTATCTCCAAGCTAAAACCAAGCAGAGTTGGCTGGTCTCTCTGGCCAGTCTCCTATGCCTGATACCTCCATATACATATCTCACTTCACAATCCATTCTACCTAAAATCCTATCCTCTCGGACCTCCTGTTTACTGTTTCATTTTGCTCCACAACCCTTACAACCGGTGACACATACAGGGGCAACACGCCACCATGAAAAGGCACAACCTTCTGCTACGCTCCATTTTAATGATCTTTTGCTTTGTAAAAGAAAAAAAAAATATCATGAATGTAATCCAGTTTTAAGGATGCTCATTGATGTTTAGTTTTTTATTTTCATCCTCATTTTATATTGAGTCATTGTTTTTAAAAAAAAGCCACAATGTTGGGATATAACGTAAGGATGCTGTCTTTGTTAAGTAGTCACTATAGAGTATATAAAGTACAACTTTGTCCAGTTTTTTTAAAAAAAATGGTTTGATAGAAATCACAAATATAACCTACATCAAGGCAGAAACATAGAAATGTGATAAGAGGAGAAACACACTGGACCAGGAAGGAAACTTTTTTTTCTATTTACCTCTAAAACAAAAGCAAGCTTAGACACCAATACTTCAATACACTTGAATGATAAAGATATGCCAATTGGACTAACACTGTAATTAAAGGTTCAATTCTTTGCTAAAGAAAGTAGTTAAAATGAAAAATAGTGAGACAGTCAGATAATGCTCTACAGTTTGATGATGTGATCACAGAAAGGACCCCTGTTGAGGCAACTCATTCCTGAAAGTGTTCAAATTTGGCATCATTTTTTTTTTTAGTTTTGAAAGCTGTCTTGATGTCCAGTCTAGTTGTGTTCAGAAACTGATTGCGGTGCTAAAGTGGACCTGGAAACACTTTATCAATAACTGCACATACACCACAGTGCCATTACATCTAGTCTATACCTCTTTCTCACAGGCCACGCCATCATCAGAGGACTGTTCAAACCTGATCGAAGGGTACACATTCATGTTAGGTCACCTCAGTCGTCCAGCAATCCTCAAATCAATGCAATGAACATTTAAAGGGAGACAAAAAAAAACAACAAAAACAAATAAAAAAAAACATGTATTGTATATTTTTTGAGTATTTGTATAGGTTCTTTCAAGTGTTCACTATTGTAACTCCCTTCTTATATTTCATAGATTACTTTTTAATATAATGACAATGTTGTATGTAATGATGTCTTTATAAATGATGTTTTTAAAGGACCTCTATTTCGCATCACACCAGAAAAGGAAAAGTATTACTAATTGTAAGTTTATTCTGTAACATATTTTTTAACAGAAAAAAAAAAACAAACTCAAGCTACATTGGTAATTTACATATTTATTTTGTTATGTAAATCATATTTATAAGTGCTTTTTTCACAGAGAAGTGATTCTTTGTAAATTGTAAATACATTGCTGTTTTACTCTTTGTGTTGATTGCATGTCTTTGTACCCAAAAGAAAAGACACATTACATATACGACAAGGTAAATATTTGTGTGCAGTCTTGTTCTTATTACTATAAAAATGATAATAATTGTAGTGGTGATGGTAGAATAGGTATTAAACAGTTTGTTGCTATTTTAAACAATAACTTTTGACTGATAGAGGCAGTCAAAAAATATTGAACACCTTGGAAGAAAAGTGTTAATCTCCTAAAATGGAAAACGTGTCAGTCAGTACAGTGAATTGGTGAGTAAATAATAAAATAACTATTCTATAATACATTCTATTTGATTCTGCTGTGCCTTCATGTCCAGTGCAGTCGCTGTGTTTATGTTAACTAGACTGCACGCTTGAAAATTTGTCTTTCATTCACCCGTTGAAATACACACCCACAAAACGATGGCAGCAAGGTGCCACACAAGGAGCCGACTCCGAAACATCTGGAGTAATTTGGTGTTCGGTGTCTCACTCAGGGAGGCTTTAACTTGTGGGCAGGGCAACTGGGCATTAAACCACTAACCTACACTACCTGTTGAGCCACAGTCATCTTTGCGCATCAAATCTAAGCACGCAGTCATCTCATAGCGACAACTACATTGTCAAAAGATGGTGAGTTCCCTGTAAGATTATTATCTGTTATTCCTCAAAATCACAGCAGCTCGAGGAAGACGTCTTCCTGTGACAAACCAAAACTGTATTTAAAGAAAAACTGGCAGTATTGCACTCCACTGACATTTCTAGAATCAAGATGGACAGCCTTGTACCTACATTATCCAAAATGCATGCAGTTTGTATTTGCAGAAAACCTCTCAACAGTACTGTTAGGAGACCAGACTGTTCCTAATTGTAACCTCATTTATTAGACAAATATGATTTACAGCAGATCGGTTCCAGCAGCCCAGTTAGAATAATATAATTAGTAAGTGACGTCATTAAAAAACAAAGAAACAGTTCTTATTTCACCTATATGTAGTTCTTAAATACATAGTATTTATACAAAAAGCACAGCGTAGGATTGAATAAAATGTTGCTTAAAAACTTGTGGAGTATCATCCAACACTACTTCAAAAACTGTTTAAAATAGAGGTTTTATGTAAAAATCGCTTTGCACTCTGTAAATCAAAATACAGCACACTAATAGCACAGGTTAAAGTATTTTAAGTAACTGCCAACCCATTCCCTCTTGCAAGCATAGGTCAAATCTGCCATCACTCGTGTATAATCATCCCTCTCAACCTGTATGTAATTTATGCCTCTAATGGGAGTCTTAGCCTTCCTCCCTGTCATTACACTGTGTGTAAATGCCAGTTTCTTACTGAGGGAGCTCTGACTCAGCCTCTCTGGGTGCTCCATAGAAATATGACTCCCACACTCTGCCACATGTAGCATCCCACCCCTCTGTGGAATATAGACCCCCTATTTATAGAGCTGGCGAGGCCTGTAAATCCGGGCTCGGCACAAACTTTCATTTAAACAGCCACCCCTTGGAGTCCACTGAGTGCACACTGACACACAAAGGAGGAGCAGGGTGAGAGACCGAATCCAGGAGGAAAAAGAGGACAGACGCAGGACGACAAACGGCAAGAGACAGTTTGAGTTTTTTTTTTTTTTTTTTGACGGGCATTGAAGGGCCTACAATGAAGAAATTGTAAGCGCAGAGTCAATGAGCAGTGGAACTTGACTGACAGGACAACAAACTTACCACTTGTTTGGCACTGAGGGCTGTTGTTTGAAGACTGATCTCTGGATACAACTTTCAAAGGAAAGCAAGTCGGAGAAGACCTTACTTTACCCTGAACTGTTGATACACTGGACAACTTGGTGAGTGAAGGGAGCAAGCGAAAGAAAACACCAAGACCTTGAAGGACATACGTTAAAGTTTTGAGTAAGACATAAATCATATTTTTATTCTTTGAAAAAATACAATATTTTTAAAAACACTATAAATGGACGAATACCAGTGATATAAAATGGACAGAAATTAAACTCTACATGAATACTTTACAGCCTTGTGCAGTAAAAGTCAGACAATCAAATATATATTTTATTCCTAACACCTAAATAAATATATTTTATTATCATAAGCTACTGCACAAGCTTCTATACAACTGTGTATATATGTAACCTGATCTTAAGCACGCTGCTGTAATTACAAAGCAAGCTCCGAAAAGAAATTACAGACATTTGTAATTAAGGACCATCTATAAAAGGAAACCAAGGAAAGGGTGAGGTCTGTGTGAAAGAGAAGAGTAGGCCGCAAGGACACCAACCCAGAACAGGACGTTAAGAATCTCACCAAGAAAAACAACTGCTTCAACGCACACCATGGATGCTCATGGAGGACACTACCTCAACAAAGAAGCTGTGCTGTCACCTTTAGGTGCAGCCCGAATGTGCCAGCTACTACTTGGTTGCACCATAATGGCACTTGTGTCGCACAGCGCAGGCTACAGTGCCAGCTACGGAACCTTCTGCATGTTTGTGTGGTGCTTCTGCTTTGCTGTAACACTGGTTGTGTTCACCTTGGACATTACACGGCTCCACGCATGTATGCCAATATCCTGGGACAACTTCACTGTGGCCTTTGCCATGCTGGCAACACTCATGTACATCACTGCCTCTGTGGTCTACCCTGTTTACTTCCTTCAAGAAGAGTGTCCCGATGAAGACTGCGATGTTCAAATGTACCGCATCGCTGTCACCGTCTGCTCCAGCGTCTGCTGCTTCCCTTACGGAGTGGAAGTGTTCCTGACGCGAGCCAAACCAGGAGCGGTGGTGGGCTACATGGCCACCGTGTCTGGTCTGCTTAAAGTGGTCCAGGGTTTTGTGGCTTGCATCATATTTGGGGCCCTGGCTAATGACAGTGAGTACAACCAGTACATTGCCACCCAGTACTGCGTAGTGGTGTACAGCCTGTGCTTCTCTGTGACTGTGATAGTGGTGGTATTGACAGTCTCCGGTAGGACGTCTGCCCTGCGGTTCCCATTTGACCGGTTTGTGATTGTCTACACCTTCTTTGCTGTGATCCTCTACCTCAGTACTGCACTGATCTGGCCCATCTTCAGCTTTGATAAAAAATATGGCACCACTACTCGTCCTGAGGACTGCCCACGGGGAGAATGTCCCTGGGATAGTAAGGTGGTGGTGGCAGTGTTCACCAATGTCAATCTAGTATTATATTTTGTTGATCTAGTTTACTCCCAGAGGATTCGCTTTGTCTCCAGCTCTGCAGTGTGAAAAACTTTCTCCTTTTAACCTCAGACAGTTTTGGGTCACATCCAACATGCTCGCATACTCCGGTTTGTGTGAAGGATTTATTTTCTTGGATGCATAATTTCATGTGTGTGTAAAAAAATTGTTATCATCTGTATTTATCTAGTACTTGGCCTCTGTGCTCGGCATAAGTGTACAGTGTGTGCTACAAACTTTCTCAAGTTCTGCAGTGACCTACCATGGAGGCCTGCCAGGTGCAGTGATTCGCTAAACTCAGCAACTTTGTTCACAGAAGACGCAAGGCAATCTGTCCATCTCAGCAACAAATGCATCCCTCCTGCCCTCGTTGCTTTGGTGGTCTCATACAACACAGACCTATGGGAGCGTGTGACATGTCGAGGATTAGAACAGTGTTATGTCAGACAGACTGAATCAATCTTACAAAGATGAAGCAATTTATAGAATTATATTTAAACAAACAGGATAAAAATATATCTCACAGAGATGTATATTTTGTGTTAAGTCTACAGTATGCACTGAACATAGATTCTGGTTTTGGCTTTTGAGTCGTTTTGCTGTAATTTTACCAATTTGTATTATATTCTTCATATACTGTATGTTCAGCTTTAGTAGGCTTTTCCTGTTACTGAAGTTTAAATGTATCAAATACATGATTTTTTTTTTTTTTTACAAGCAAATGTGCAACAGTAGTATTAAATTGATTATTTTGTTGTTACACTTAATGTTATGCACAAACATGAGTGTAACATTCTTGTAATGTTATTGATCAATGTCCAATAAAATGCCAGTGTACGTTTGGTATTTCTATACCCATTTCTTTGTATGAAGTAGGTCTTCAGTGAACATCTTTTGTCTGAACTTTCAGACTGACTTGCTGTTACTGCAGAAAGCATTGGTGCAGTGTCATCACTTTTCTGTATACTTCAAAACACCAAATTAGACCTGGATTTTTTATTTTTTCCACACACATAACCTATATAACATTTCTCTAGTGAAATAAAGGGTTCCAAATGCAACAGTTGAGAGACAGAAAAGACTCCAGATTAGGCAAATCTAAATTTGTAAAACTGTGTTAATTGTTCGTGTCATGAATCGATCATTTAAGTAACATATAGACACATTCATACAGACAAACAAAAGGAAACCAACATAAACAGCCAGTTTCCCAGACATGGATAGGTCTTGTTCTAGACTAAAGTGAAATTCAAGGAAGATTTTCATTCTACTGGAGCGGTGGACCACCATCCCTCCACAACACAGTTCCTCATTTGGTGTTTTGGTGATGGAGAGAGCTGTCTAACAAAATCTTTCATAGGTGTTTAAATGGGTTGAAAGCCTCACGGTCACACAGTTCAGAGGCCCATCGTGCCCTGTGGTTGAAGGAGTTGTCATCCAGGAAGAGACAACTCCCATCACCATAGAAATATTTTATCACAACTGTGTGGTGATTTGCAGTGAGCCTTTAAAGAACAACAGCTCAACACCAAAAAAGGTCAAAGGTTCCGGTTTTTCCTTTAACGTGTCACCCACCTGTATGGCACATCTGGTCAATCACAGTTATTCGTAAAGTGTTAGAAAAGCGCTGTTTCCTAAAAGCCTTTCTTAAGCCTTGAGATATACAGTCACCGTGAACACAGGTTAGTACCTGTAGGTTGGCATGAATAAACAAGATGAAAAAAGTGAAGTCGCTAAATGTAGACTTTTAGAGAAAAAAAAACGCCAGTCAGGCTGCTTTCCTCAGGTTATGCTACAACGCATACAGCCTGTCTGGGTCGGGATACAAAAAACAACTTTTTCTCCGTCCAGAAATGATCTGCTTTTTAAGCTTTTCGCCAGTAGATGATGGTATAACACCAGCATGCCGACCTGTTTCTCTTCCCCGCGGCACAAACTGATGCAACTAGCGTTTCGGCTTTACAGAGCCCGCCCGGACATTACCGTAAATACCACTGTGATTGGTCAAACATGTCACATGTCGGCCAAAGGTGCAAGCTCATTGGCCGGATCCCCTGCCAGTCAAATTCGTCCCCACAGGTACAGTCTTGCGCGAGACATCTGGGCCACGTTGACAGCGTTGTAAAATCAGGTGCATCTGTTGTTGTGGGTCAGTTGGTCCGTCAACGTAGCGATTCTTCTGTTTATTTGTAAGTGTTTTTTTTTCCTGTAAATGATATTGCGGTTTAAAAGTATGGCATTCAGAATACCAGTTGCTTCGGTTAATGAGGAAGTAAGAGCTTGTTTACTGCCGCTGTGTGAGGACACAGTGTTCACCAGTTAGCAGATACCTGCCATTGCTCACATAAAAATGTTTCCCCTTTGCTGAAGTTAATGTTTTCAGCTCTGTGCATTCACAGGCAACATGAGTGTGGGTTTTATAGGAGCAGGCCAGCTGGCCCACGCTCTTGTGAGAGGCTTTTCAGCTGCAGGTGAGTTCTGAATTTTTCTTTACACCTTGTGCACTAAATAGATTTGACTTGTATTTTGATGTATGTAGATTGCAATCAGACACTGGAATCATTTCTGGACATTTTCTCCCCCCATTAAGGTGTGATTGCCACCCACAGAATCACAGCCAGTTCTCCAGACACAGATCTCCCCACAGTACAGAAACTACGGGTTGGTAGACGCTTGTGCTGCTTTTTAATCCTAGATTTGTGATTCAGGGTAATTCTGAATGACTTTTTTCTTTGCACTTTTGGGGGGGTGAGGAGGGATGTCTCGTGGTATAAATCAATGTTTTCTTTGTATGTAGAGATTCATGTATCATGTGTCTAAGTAATAGAACAAATGGCATTTGTACAGAAACTGGGTGTGAATTTCACCACAAGCAACAAGGAGACAGTGAGCAGAAGTGATGTTCTCTTCCTGGCTGTGAAGCCCCACATCATTCCCTTTGTGCTTGACGAGATTGGACCAGATATTGAAGGCCGTCACCTTATTGTGTCCTGTGCTGCAGGTGTTACCATCAGCTCCATAGAGAAGGTCGGTTGTCGCTGTGCATTTCACTGATTGTTCATGGATGATAATAGTAACAACAATACTTGGCAAATTGTAAATGAACTTGAAGGTCTTTTTCCTATCCATGGCCTAACTGTTACAGCCTTGTTATGATATATGGAATTAGACAATTTGTGTATGAACAGAGTTAAAACATTTGTTTTTTTGTAGGCGACACGGTGTCTCAGATTAATTAACCAATGCTAGTGGACGTATCCATTGTTTGTTCACTTTAAAACTACAACAGAACTGAATCCCTTAGCTATAGCCCTGCCTTTGAAACCAGTATGGCCTATTATTACTTAAACTGTAGTTTAGTACAACACTATCAAGATCAATGAATGACATCAAAACAGTCACAAGTTGTTACATATTATGTTACACATTATTGGTCAACTGCTTGAATTTGAAACACTAAGTAAAGGGCAATATTTTAAGATATATTGTGGAATCTTAAAAAACAAACAAAAAACTATATAATATCAAATGATATTTCATGGCTATGCAGTATGTCTTCTCAAGACGATGCTAAAGCGTGACTTACAAGCCCATGTGTATGTTTAAAAAGGTTTCTTCAGCTGTTCATCCTGGTCATAATTTCCACAAAAGAAATCGCAAAATCCACAGCCATGTTTCCAAGCAATAATATCTTGCTAAGTTTATATGAACCTTCTTTCTTATAAGAACTCCATATTTATTTTTATTTTTCACGCTTAGCTGTGAAGGAGGAACAGAGTAAGACTTTTGTACATAACTTTTGCATATACTGACATGATTTGATTAACAACAACCCCTTCAGCACTGTTCTATTTTTTGCAATTTTCACCTGAACAAAAAAAGAAACAAATACACAAACAAGTAAAAAAAAAAAAGTTCAGTCAGTAACAACTGCAAAACTTTAAGGTCGAAATGTACGCCACTGTGCTCCAAGAATAAGACACACTGAGTGAAACTTTGAAATGCAAAAAAGTCTTTTTGTCATTATCACCAGGCCAGAGTGAGCTTTGCCAAACTCAATAATTTATGTTTTTACCTAAACTAGAGAGTAAATAACAGTCTTCTAACAATGAGCCAGTAAACACTGATGTTACCTCTTACCTCAAATGCAACTACCAAATCTGATGCAACAGAAATAAAGCAGAAGAAATGCATCATGGATTTTAGTCAGAGAAACGCTGCCACACTTGGCAACTTTTGCAAAATGGTGCCAGTTGCGTATTTATACCAAATTCAGCCTGACTCTGGAGGGCCCACCAGGATGGAAGAGGTTAAAATTGAAAAAGCCTCATTTTTTGGGTACAGAATTGTGATTATGGATTTTGTTCTAGTTTTGTTTTAGTGTTTATATAGCCACTTGATGGTTGGTGTAACAAAAACATGAAAAAACTGTCAACCTGTCCTTTATAGTGATATATGCTAGTGAGTGTTTCATTTTAATTTAGTCTCTAAGCTAAAGATGGTTTCATTAAATAGTGCATTGTTATCCCCTGCAGAAGCTACAGCAGTATCGCAATGCTCCAAAGGTAATGCGTTGCATGACTAACACTCCAGTGGTGGTGCGTGAAGGAGCCACTGTCTACGCCACAGGCACCCATGCTGAGGTGGAGGATGGAAAGCTTCTTGAACAGCTGATGGCCAGCGTTGGCTACTGCACTGAAGTGGAAGAGGACCTGATTGATGCTGTCACTGGCCTGAGTGGCAGTGGCCCTGCTTATGTGAGTCACTTCCATTTAACAGTGACTGTTGTGTTTGTCATTCCTGACTTACCTGTAGCAATTGGGAAAAATGTGTCCTTTGGATTAGTGCCCTCTTTCTATCGTCATAATTTTGATGGTTGTGGCCTTGCAGGCGTTCACAGCAGTAGATGCCCTTGCTGACGGTGGAGTGAAAATGGGCCTGCCGAGGAGACTGGCAGTCCGCCTCGGAGCCCAAGCCCTCCTGGTAGGACCATTGCATTTGAAACAAGTATCACATATATATGAATGTATGTATGTATATATATACACAGTGCTTATCAAGTGTATTAAACCACCACTTAATGTAAGGTTTATGCCACAGCTGCCCTAAATTAACAGCGTTGGTAACTACCAAAATATATTTTTATGTCTCTGAAATGATTAATACACCAGTACATAGAAGCTCTTCAGCCCAAGTGATATTTTTCATGCTCAAATTTAATTGTTGTTGTTATCCATGAATTTTCAAATGTACTGTTTTACAAAAACAGAAAAAATAGAAAAGCAACATTATTATTTCTTGATTCAGATGTCAAATCATAGTTATTTACTTGCATTCCTGAACAGAAAAAATAAATAGTTTTAGTGGTTAAATGTTATGCTTGATTTATTTCTGACTTCTTGGAGAAGCCCAGTGAGCTGGCTCAGATTCAAATTTGAATTCAGTTTGAAATTTCTCATTCCTGATTAAAATGGGAAAACATCGAGAGCTGAGTGCAAATTAAAGCACTTCATGATGCTGGATGGTCCACACACTGCTGAAAAAATTAGACAGGTGGTCTGACAAATTTATATTTTTTATATTTATGTGTGTGTTTTTATTTCAGTTTCATTGTTTTACTGTTGCTCCAAGTAGTATAAATCAAGGCTTTTTATTGTATTGTATTGTGTTTTTTTTTTTTTTTTTTTTAATGTGTCTAGAATTTCAGACAGAACTATTTGAGCATTCTATCAAGCAACTGCAGACAAAAAGTAGTCTCAGTCTTGACACGCTCTGGCACATTTTCATTCCATTGTTAATTGATGTGCTGCGTCACTGCAAATAAATAAACCCTAATGCTATTCCACCAGATGTGACCTGCAGCCAATCTTGGCTGGTACTGGACTCCATCTGGATTTTCAGTATTTCAATAAAAATACAGATACAGGGTCTACTGTACATGACATAATTAGTGGTTCTTCCTTTGTGTTTCTTCAAAGGGGGCTGCTCGGATGTTGCTCGACTCAGAGCAACACCCCGGGCAGCTCAAGGACAATGTGTGCTCACCAGGGGGCGCCACCATACATGCCCTACATGTCATGGAGAGCGGCGGTTTCCGCAGCCTTCTTATCAATGCTGTAGAAGCCTCTTGTGTTCGGACGAGGTAGGTTGACAAGTAAAATGTGAGACAAACAAACAAATCACATTCCCTGCCGTTGGCATACATTAGAAATGCTTTTAGGTAAATTGTTTTGCTTAAATGGGCAGAGGGTAAAATACGTTTGTTTGTTTTTTCTTTTTTTTGGGGGGGGGGGTTATAAATCAGGCACCAGATGGAGCTATATGCAAATATTTTTGCAATGAGGTTTTGCGCTTCTTGGGTTCTTAAGTACCTACTGTTACAATTAATGTAATGCCACTCCATTATGTATGTGAGTGTGTGCGCCTGTGTGTGTGTAGCATACTCTTGTTGTAAATGTCTTTGTGTTTCTGCCCTTCTTTTGAAAGGGAACTTCAGTGTTTGGCTGACCAAGAGAAGATCTCTCCTGCTGCCATAAAGAAGACAACTTTGGACAAAGTGCTCCAGCAGCCAGGAGTCACTGCAGAAGCTGTTGGAGTCACATCTCATGGGATCAGCATCTTCAACAGCAGTAACCCCAGGAACAAGAAGAAATGATCTTTTTTTTTTTTTTTTGTCAGGCAGAGAAACTGCCAACTTTAGTGTGACTTGTTACATCACTGGTGATGCAGTATAAGCTGTCAACAAACCACGACCAGCAAATAACCTATAAGTACACAAGCTAACACTGTCAAGCACTTTCTAGAAAATGAAAATCACAAAATTTGGAGTGACATTTGAATATAGGAAAACTGTAATTTCCCTTTTGCCGTCACTAGGCAAATAGGTAGTATGATTCATGCGCTGTATAGCTTTCTAAAACATATTTCTGTTGGTGTTTTCTGATGGAAGTCATGTGGAGTGAAGCAGTAAACCAGGGGTCTCGAACTCCGGTCCTCGAGGGCCGCAATCCTGCAAGTTTTAGATGTTTCCTTCTTCCAACACACCTGATTCAAATGATCAGCTCATCATCAAGCTCTGCAGAAGCCGGATAACGATCCTGATCATTTGAATCAGGTGTGTTGGAAGAAGGAAACATCTAAAACTTGCAGGATTGCGGCCCTCGAGGACCGGAGTTCGACACCCCTGCAGTAAACTCAGCTCAGGTCTTAGTGTTTTTTCTGGAGGTGTATACAATACAACTTGGATTGTACCAAAATTATATTTTTCAACTGTTACTGATTTTTAACAAAAAAAATAATACTATAAATGCAATATTGTATGATGCAAGGATGGTTTGCAGAGCCGTTTATTACATTTTTAGAAAACAACATTGCTTGCGTGTGATTTATTTGTGCCTATGCGCATCGGTAAGAGTTACTGAGACACAGCCAATGCCCTCAGAAGTGATTTCAGGTCACCTCGCAGTTATTAGCAGATGCAGCGTTTCAACAGAGCGTGTATTTTTGGTTAAAATGTTGTTTTTTTTCTTGTGAGGAAAATCTTTCATGAATGAAGACACGTGACCAAACACAATGACGTCTGGCTTCTATACAAGAGAAAGGAATCAACAAGGAGAACACGAGCTGGCGTTTGGAGCCGCCGCCGCCGCCGCTTCGGTCACCGAAACCCAAATTCACCTAAATGTTTGCTCTCCCGCATGAGGGTTTCGTAAGAGGACTTTGACGGCTACAACTTTAGAGAGCGTCATTTTTTTAAAAGTCAGGTGGGTCCAAACAGAGTCGGTGTTGTTATGCTGAGTGTGCATGCCTCCACCGCGCCGCTGACAAGCTAGCTTGCGAGGTTAGCATAGCTAGCTTCTCGTCAAGTTGGCCCGATTTACGTCAGATATGGCTTTCAAACTAAAGCGTCCGTCTTTACTCGAGCTGTCGTTTAAGCCTGTTGTCACAAGTGAAGGGGTTTATTTTGAAAGTTTCCACTTGAATTGCTTGGTGGTGGTGGCTGCGAGATGACAACGGTTGTGGCTCGTACTATGGTGAGATGGCAGCTAATCTTTTGTACACATTAACAAGCCGTGAATAGACGTGTCATTCAGGTTTCATGTGAGACACTTGGCGTGTGGTTGGTCCCCCCCTCCATCCAGCTCGAGGAAACGTGTCGGTGCTGTGTTGCTACTGTGTAGTAGGAAGGCTGAGCACGGGGATTTCCTCACTTGCTTGTTTTGTAGGCGGGGAGTTGTTTGCCACTCTCACAAGCAGCCGCTGAGAGGTTGGACACAGAGTCGCGGAATGTCAAAACCGTGTAACCTGTGCGGGCTGCGTTTGCGGTAGAGATAGTTTTACCAAGACGTCTTGTGTCCAGTGTCACCGCGCTTCAGGGTGGTTTGTCAACTCATGCGCGTCTCGCTGTTCAAACCTGCTGCTTCATCACCTCGCTGTGAACAGGAGCAAGCGCGAGCCGAGCCAGCGGTTTAGCGAGATCAGGTTGGTTGCAATATTCTCTCATGACATTTCTGTCAGTGTGATTGTTCAATCAGAGCACCGTGTTGTCCTTTTGTGCAGCTTTTATGCGTGCATGGATTGCATCTTCCACGAAATGCTTCCAAAAAAACCAGCGTTTCGTGTTGAATTGCTTCACCTGAAGTGACAAATCATTTAACCACTAGTTAAATTGTAACAATAGGAGATCAAACCCGCCGTCCTTGGCTTTAATGTCACAGCCAAGCAGTTAACCACAGTATTGTTTCATCACCAGAGCCACCAAACAAGTAGCGTTATTATTATTAGTATTTTTTATCATGCTGAATCATCACAACGATGTATTTAGACGTTCTCAGAATCCACCCCGAAATATGGCACCACCGGACAAAGGTCTGCACGGTGGATAAGGGTCGATGTTTATCACCAAGCCGCCGTTATTAGGGGAGGGGGGGATGGATCGAAATGGTGCTGATCTTTCGTGCAAGTCAGTCATCAAGCCATGAGCATCAAGTGATGACCATCATGCATTTATCAATAGCCTCATCTACATTCAGCTGAGAATGTGCATTTTATTGCAGTGCTGTCATGATGTACATCAACAAATGGTGCGAGCACATTTAGACTAAGTGCTTAGGTGTCAACTGCGATGTCAAATCCATTTTAAAAATGCATGATAAGCAGATATTATGCATGTGTTGTTATAAAATAGTCCTGTGATGAGTGGATGTTTAAATTAGGTCACGTGTAATTATGGGATGTATAGGAAGTTTTTTCAAAAAAAGCACAACAACACCTCATTTCGGTGGTATTTGAAACCGATTTCTGATCTCAGAAACAAGTATTTTATTTTATTTTGAGTATTTATGAAATAATGTGAATGCATTTAGCTTTGTTGCTAAACAGTATGCTAAATGCTATAGATTTACCAGCATTATTTAATGCCATGCAACACTTGATTTCTCTTATTTTGGGTTGGCAGATGCTCTTGTTTCCCTGTGTGTGACATGATGAAATTTGCTGCCTATTAGAGTGCACACTTATGGAGGGCGCAGGTAATGAATTATCCATGGAGAGTCTCTGTGCAATTTGAAAAGTCACCTTGGAAACTGTTGAACACATATAGGCAGGGCTAAACAGATAGAAGTTACCCATTCTTGCTCAGATATCCAACTTATTTCATCATCTCTGTTCATGCGAGCAGGGCATTGAAGTGTGTTTAGCAGACAGACCAGCCCTGCATCAGAAGCTCGGCTTTGCAATAAAGCGTAATGCCCATCTCTGCCTTTCTCTGCAGGTAACAAGAACAGATGATGGTCCATATAAGAGCCCGATGGGGCTGGCAATGGTGTGTGGATGAAGGCAGGGAGTGGCGGAGATCAGCTTTTAGATTTATCGCCTCTTTCATTGAGGTAGTGAAGATAAAATAAGGCAGGATACCATAGAGGTGAAGCGAGTGCACAACTCATACCCAGTGGCGTTGCTCAGAATGGGCAGGCGGTGGAGGGTGGAAGAGGATATGTGAGGTTGATGAAACACAAGGCAAGACTTTACATAGCATAGAGTACAGTCTGGCCACCAACACCTCTGTATGGCCAACGTAGCTGTGCCTTGGGAGTAGTTACGCCTATTCAGGACAATTAATAGCCTCCAGAAAGGAACACAAATGTGGGATTTGTCCACAAAAGTGCTGCTTAAGCTGCACAGGGAAATGGGAATGCCTGGAAGGAAGGAGAAAAAGATCAATATATTTTTTCCCCCTTTTTGCAATAGGGAGGGAATGTTGGTGATGAAACCTCTTGCAAGTGCAGTGCGGATTATGATTGCTTAGCATTGCGATATGCCCGCTCCACTTCTCAAAGTAATACTTTCATCCAGACAGAGTAGCAACTATGTTTGATGAATTTCTGTTTGGAGCTTGAGTTAGACTTGGCATGTTCATTACTGCCCTCTGTTTGTTCATAATTTAGATAAGCCAATATTGGACAGAACATGGTGAAAATGAGCATGGAGTGGTTCACTGGCTGCTGTTTTTTCATGTAACCTACTTTTATCTTGGCTAATTTGTGTGTGGGACACATTAGTAGTAAAGTGACATTAAGAAGAAGTGATTTAACTGTAGCCATACTCATTTAAGAAGCTAACTCAAAATGAAACTCGTGAATCACTCTGGGTCAGTTTCTTTGTGTTTTGAAGAGTTTTAGGAGATACAATTAGACTGTTCCACTATGATGGGGCCTGAATATGTACAACATTTTCTATGGAGGTTAAAGATAGCAGGGCCTTGTGTATAAACAACATTGGAAAAGAGCTCATTACACTACTGTTAGTACTACCTGCATTGGTCAGTCTCTGCTGCTGAATACAACAGTTAGTTATTTATTTGGTGACTGTTACGTTTACGTTTTTTTTTCTTCTCTGCTATGCAAAGTAAGCAGGGGGTTTTGTATCTGTCTCTTGCTTGACAAAGAGTGTTTCAGCTCACCTGTGGACACAGTGGATGCTTTGGGAATCAAACTAGTGATCATAGTCCGTAGCCATCCCAGCACTCTAAGCTGTAGTTCAAGTTAAAATATGTGAAGAACAGAGAGGAGGGTTTAATGAAGGAACTCTGCAGATTGAATCGTGATGTAAACTGTTTGTGTGTGTGCTACATGAGTAATTATTATTGAGTGATATAATAGATTTATATATGCATATACTTTTTTTGTCAATCACCTGAGAGTGAGGCTCCATGAGATAACCTTTAGGCAGACATCATCAATCACCATAATTTGAACAGAGCTGTGGCAGTGTTATTAATAGAAACTAGCATCTTTGTTATTTTCAGGTAACTGACTACATTTGAATTAAGACTCTCCACAGGAAAACTAGGATGCTACATTTGTTTTCTTCTTTTTTTTTTAATGCAGTGATGCTTCTAAGCTCTGTTTGTTTGATGGGTTAATTACAGAGCGGTGTTTCAACTGAAGACGATCCAGCTTAAATCATAGCTGTGCAATGCTACTCACCAAAGATGTGAGTTATTTCACTTTAAATGCATTAGAATATATTGAACTGCTCTATTTAGCCTGTGTGTTGCAAAGGTTGTGTTGTAGTGTTGTTAGGTCAGTGCAATATGCATTTAATATGTATGCAACCAGTGTAGTAAAGCTTCTAGATATTTTGCAAGTGTGTGGGTTGCCTGCAACCCTTACTTCCTCTGCCAGTGCAAGGCTGAAGTATCAAGAGCTATTCTCTTCCTGTTTAATCAGGTCCTCCAGGCAGATATTGTGGAGGCCAATGAAGTCTCTTCTCCTGTCCTATTGCTTGTACTAACAGAGCAGCTCTGAGAGTAAATGGCAGCTACTGAGTATGGAAATAGATTCTGTATGTATCGAAACATTGGTTAATGCAAACTGGTCTAACCTGAGTCCCTTTAAATAAGCATCACATTATCAGTGACTTCAGAACAGAGAAAATCCCTTGAGGGCAGTGATTCATGTTTTCACTTTAAAAGACATGAACTGGATGCAAAATCCAGACATAAATGTGCCACATGCTTTTCTTCATGGTATAACCTACTAGCTTATGCATGTGATTTTTTTTCCCCTTTTTACCATGGACCTACATAAAGTCAGAGGATATTACTATATATATCTACCGTCTCACAAACAAAAGCACTTTTGAAATTGATTTCACATCGAAAAAATACTGGTAAATGTATTTGCTTGTTTCTTATAATGTTTACAAAAATAGGAGACAAAAAAAACAGACATATGAGTAGACAACTGCGACCCTAAAACTATTTTTGCCTTAATTGTATAAGACTGGTCTGATCTTAGTTGGAAGTGGGTCTACACATCTACCATTTTGCTGTTTAAAATGTGAATTCCACTATTATGATTGTTTTTTCCGTTGCTATTTAGTGGTGGTAAATTTAGAATGTATTGTAGAACATTAACCCTGGTCCTAGTTAAAATGCAATGCTTTGTAAAATTCAAAACATGTCAGCTACCAAAGCTTCTGGCTCTGGTTTATTAGCTAATAAATAAGCCAAGAGGCTAATCAAAAGCATCCATGCAATATTTTACTGCTTTTTATATAAAGCAGGTAGCAATTCAGTCCCCTTTTTTAAAAAAAATCTTCATTGTCAGTATGTGGGAAAAAGAAAAATTCCAAAGCAAGGGTTGTTTAATCTTTAAAACATTACCAATTTCAAAGCTTTTTTCTCCCTCACGAGTTTATATCAATATTGATTATAGTGGTTTTTTGTTGTTGTTGTTGTTTAAGAAATGGTCATATTCAGGAATCTTTATTCTAGGGGTCAGTCCTTTAAAAGGGTTAAATAAATAAAATTGTAGTTATTTGCTATTTCAGCATTGCTCAGAACCTCCACTGGTCAAAAGTACTGGCATAGTATTTCCCCTCTACTACAAGCGTATCACATTTCCCTCTGAAAGCTGCTGAATGATTTTCTCTCTCCCTCTTTTTGTCACTCTTATTTCACGCTCTGAATACTTAGTAGTTAATAGCTTCCCTCCCCTCTTCCCGTTGTATCTTTCTCTTACACTCGCACACTGTTTTCTCGATACACAAGTTTACACCGCTCTTCCAGTGTCTCCTCCAAAGCTATCAGAGGGGTCTGATTTTTAATTTGCGGTTAAATGGCGCCTGGCACATGCAGCTTGCTTGATAATTGACTTAGCTCAGCTGACGAGAGGAATGATTAGATCTGAAGATCTAGGCGATCTTTTCAACTCTGAATTAGAAGGGAGGGACTAAAAGTAGTAGCTCTGATCAGGCATGAAATGTTGTGAATGGCTGTTTATGCTATCCGGAGTGAAAATGTTGGCTGACGGCATAAAGCATCTCAACCCTCAAAGAGCAAATGGACAAGACAACAAATAAGCACAGTGTAGAAATTAATGAGCCAAATCATGAGATGAGGCTGACATTTCTCTTTTTCATTCATTCTTTGTGCTTATTTTTTTTAATTATGCACTTTTCAGTATCTTTGTGGTTATCATCATTCTGTTTCCTGTGGAAAGTCCTTGACAATAGAGCAAGAGGCTACAAGTCTTATACATTATTGATCAGGGAAACTGAATAGGTGATCATACTGACTTCACATCTAGCTGTCGTCTATTGTGTCAAGTTAAATGTCCAAGATTTGCAGGTTTTGTGACGACAATGAGCTGAAAACAGTGCTAAACATTCTATCAACTAAGGCCCAATTAATATTTTGGCCAAAGCTCGAATGTTGTTTGAACCATCGAACCAAGTCTTATTTACAAGTCTGCACTGGTCATAGCAGAGGAAAGACATTTAAATTGGGCATATGACCAAAATGAGTCACATCGTGTGTCTTCTTGGAGTGAAAATTCTTGAAATGTATTGTTTGGTGTGAGATGATATTCAGCTGTTAGTTTCACAGAACTGAGTTGCTATTGTTGGATGCTGCCTATGTTTTCCTGAAAACAGTCTTTCATCAGCATGCACCTCCACTGTCTAGTTTTATTCACTTCATTAGCAAGCTGCCAGTGCCAAGTGCTCGGACGCTTCTTTTCGAGAATTGATCGTGACAAGTTAAATTTATATGTGCTTGTGTGGTTTTGGTAATCCGTCTCTGCGTGGATACATGTGTGCCTGTGATTAGTTACGTGATATGCAATCCACTGTCCTGTCTCAGCAAACCCTGTACCCTGTTAGTCCTTCTCAGCCGTGTTTAGTATTCAGCGAGCAGGCGCTGTCGTAATGTGGATTCCAAGGCAGGTTGCTGGGGTTTTTGTTTGCTCTTATGGCCCTGATAATCTTGTTACACTGCTGTCAAGTGGAGCTGGCCCTCCCTGCAGCCCCAAACCACCATGCGTGCCACCTCCAGTACCAGAAATCCAACCCCACCCCCCTCTACCCCCACCCCCACCGGGCCCACCGCCATTTTGAGACAGTCGTTGATGGAAGAGCCTTGGATGTATCCTTGAAGAATCACCTCCTGAGCATCTTTATTCAGCCTCCCACCCCCGCCCCGTCTCCCACCCCCACCTTAGGCTGTGAACGACAGTGATAAATATTCATCAGGGAGACGCAGTGCATGGAAGCTGTAGCCTCGGTTCCCCCTCAACAAAGAGTCCCCTAGCTAATGGTGTCCATCCTTGGCATCCCCCCTGGAGAGATCCCGTGGAGGGGACGAGATCATTAAAGCATGCCACGGGCTGAAGGCCGGACCTATCATGTCACATCAGCATTTATCGCACCAGAGTTTTTTTTTTCCCCCCCTTTTGAGTATCAACCTGAGCCAACCTACCTTTGCGAGCTGCCCTCTATAGATTTAGACGAACAAAGACAGTGTTTGAAGGTTGGCTGGGTTGCTCTCGTTGTGTTAGTTCAACTTCACAACTTCCTAATTGGCACCTTGGTTTTGGTCCTTGCTGAGATCAGTATTTTTTTCTCTCAACCTGTTCTACTCAAGCTCCTCTAAATGTGTTGACCGTGCATTTTACACAAGGCTGTTTGCTCTCTCTGTCTTTCTTTTCATCTCACCCTTTCTTTCCCTCTCTCTCTTTCTCTGTCTGTCTCTCACAATTCCCTTTCTCTGGGTGACCACACTCAGCGTTTTCTATTTCCTGTGGGTGTGATGTCTCTCCTCCACAAGCAATCAGCTCTGATTTGTCAGCGTTCTTCCAGGCGATTCATAAAAATTCAGCAAGCATCTACAAAAGACGTCTGTGTCCCTGCACTTGCTCCCTACCTCCAATGCCCCTGTGCTCCAAGCTAGTGAGTTTTTGCCTCCTGCTCCTTTGGCTAGACACACACAAAAGACCTGAAATTATTTATATGAGGTAATGAAAGACACTGGTGTCTACAGTTCTCAGTTGTAACTGTTTTCATGTGAATTTGTCAAATGCAAGGGCTGTCTGTTACAACCACGTCTAAAATGTCCCTGTCATTCCTATGGAAAATTAAAGGAGTACCTTTCCTTTTCCTTCGCATCTCTGTGTGTTGTGTGAGCATGCCTCTTTGTCTCTGTGAGGTATGACATGCCTGGTAGTGGAAGGGAGCAGCTGTGCATTGGACCTTGTCTGTGGTGTTCTGCCATGCCCTGTCATTGGTAGCCGTCTGTTGGCAGCAGCCTGTGCTGGAGGCTTGCAGCCTGGGCGCAGTCTTTCCACAGTGTCATATGGTGAGCTTTCAGTGTGCCAAGCCATGCCTGCCATGTTACCCTACACAGCTGTGTGACAGAATACGCCTCCTCAACCTGGACAATGTGCCATCTCTTTACATTTTCAAGATTCCAACTGGTTTTTGAACAATGTTGGGTCTGGGCAGCCAAGAGGAATATGATAGGCTTAATATGAAATTTGGAAGATGCAGCATTTTTGTCTGCTCTCCTCCCAGTAGCTATTAGTGTAGTACTTTCCTGTCTATTTGTCCATTATCTGTGCATCATCAGGCAGACCATTATCCCATTATGTTTTGCATCTGTGGTCCAAATGCTTACTGGAAATGAGTCACCACAAAGGCCAGTGAAAGGTAGGTGTTACTATCAGACAGCTATTCATAGCCAGCCCATCAGGGATGAAAGTATCACATTTAAAAAGTCCTCTGCAGAACATGGAAGGGTTTTTTTTTTTCTTTCTTTTTTTTTTTTAATGGGCATATGCAGCACTGAGAAACATTGCTGTTTTATGAGGAGCCAGAGGACTTTTTGAAGTGAAAGCATCAAGAATTCAAGTCACAATCTGACCTCATGTTATGTCCCCAGCCTGTGTGATAGTGTCGTATTCAGGTCATTTTTAACAAGCGTCTGTCTCTCCCTGTTTGGCTCAGGTGACCAGTCCACCTGTAGCACCCTTTTGTTGCCATGGAAATATCCTGACCATCTTAGTGCACTTCGAAGCTACGACTCATCTGTTTTTCTCTTCTTCCTCGGCTGAGCTTCTCTGCACTCGTACCTGATGACGAACCTAATGGCCATGGAAGCTATAAACTCATGCGCACACTGACAGTACATCTTTTTAGAATTCTTTTTCGGCGTGCTTTGTTTCCGATTTTGATGTTTAAAAAGTTGTAAGAGCCAACATGCTTGTTGTTTATGTGCTCAGTACAAACACACACTGCTGGGCTGTGTAAATCAGCTTACCGAGGCAATGTGCTGGCTGGGCTGACTGTGGTGGGTGCCTGTGTCGCTGACACAGCATTTACTGTGTGTGGTGTAAAGCACCCAGGGCCACAACTGTGTGCGTTCATGTGTTTGTGTGTGCGTACTTATCCTGTGACAGAGCTCACACGGTGGAAGGCACCCGACCTTCTGTCTGTCTTAACACCAGTAGGCTAGATTTCTCGCCCATACAGCCTCTCTTGGTGTTCCCTCAGTACTGACATGACAGAATAAACTGCAGTGCAGCCCTGTTATTCTGGACGGTAGCTGAGGCTCTGCAGTAGTTCCAGTACATCCCCTTTTCATTGATTTAAGGGATTATTGTTGGACTCTGGCCAAGTCCAGACAGGTGTGACTGTCTAGACTGGATAGGCTGTACAGTAGCTGAGAGCCCGCCATGTGTCCCTTTGTGGATGTCTCTTACTTAAGAGTAGATGTACAGTATAAAGGCTGAGCTCTGTCTTTGCTCTGAGAAGCTGTGCTGACAGACATGACTTCCCTTGAGTTTGTTTTCCAAGAAATTGTTGTGAATTGCTGCCAGCCAATTAAATGTCATCATCCTTGTGACTCGCCACAACGCTGTTGAAGTACAATGCAGAATTCAAGTGAGAGAACTTAAAAGCACTTCCCACTAAATTGCCTGCGCTTGTCCTGCTTAACCTGACCTATGTTGGTGGGAATGTACACCACAAAGTTATTTGTCTGCAGTTACAGATGAAGTAGTAGTCCAGGTTACACTTGTTGGCAGACTTGGCATCACAGAGGAGGAAGCCTGAAGTCCTTGACCTACTTTGTATATGAGGGACTTAGTCATGCTGAGCTCCTTTGCCAGAAAATACATTCTTTGGTAGTTTTTAGAAATATTTATTTTGGCAGCGGCTCTAAGCTTTTTCTGACACTATTGTTTAATATATTGTTGGGGACTTTTCTTTTCACAGACCAACCATCAGTACAGGTGGACGCTGCTTTCGTGGCATGACTACCACAAACAAGGGAAACAAGGCCTTAAAGGTAAAAAGCTTGTGTAAAGACTTTCAGTTTTAATTAGAGCTGCAACAATTATTCGATTAGCAGTCAACTATTGAATCAATCATTAACTATTTTTGATAATCAGTGAGTTGGTTTGAGTAATTTTAAAAAGAAAAATAGTCTAAATTATTTGATTCCAACTTCTTAAATTTTGATATTTTCTGGTTTCTTTCCTCGTCTATGACAGCAAGATGAATGTCTTTGGGTAGTGGACAAACAAGACATTTAAGGACGTTATCTTGGGCTTTTGGGAACACTTCTCAACATTTTTCACAATTTTTTGACATTTTATAGACCAAGCAACTAATCGATTATTTGGAAAAAAAATTATCGACAGATTAATGGAATGTAAATTTTTGTTAGTTGTGGCCCTAATGTTAGCTAATGTTAAATGTTTATATATTACACTAACTAATCCCCCATACGCAGGTGAAGCGGGAGCCTGGGGAAAATGGCACCAGCCTAACAGATGATGAGCTGGTGACCATGTCAGTGCGGGAATTGAACCAGCATTTGCGGGGGCTGTCAAAGGAAGAAATCCTGCAGCTGAAGCAGCGGCGGCGTACCCTAAAGAACCGGGGCTATGCTGCCAGCTGCCGGGTGAAGCGTGTTACCCAGAAAGAGGAGCTGGAAAAGCAAAAGGCTCAGCTACAGCAAGAAGTGGACAAGCTGGCCACAGAGAATGCCAGCATGAAGGTGGAGCTGGACGCCCTACGTTCAAAGTATGAAGCACTCCAGAGCTTTGCCAGGACTGTGGCCCGTAACCCCGTCACCTCAGCAAGGGGACCTATGGCCTCTGTCATAGGGCCCCTCATCCCTGGTAAAGTAGCTGCCACCAGCGTTATCACCATCGTCAAATCCAAAACGGAGGCTAGGTCGTAGTAGCAGAGAGGGCAGGAGGAAGATTTTCAAGACTAAACTAGTCAGTGCATTGTAACATGGCGCAGGATGACCTGTGTAAGTTCTCCGTTTTACTCCTGGCACTAACACTAACGATACGCTTCCCAAATTCACCCTCACAATATGACTCAGCACTATCTACTTGTCAACAGACATGCTGTTGTTGGTTTTGTGGGGGTGACACAATTAAATTGTAGGATTGTGGGTATCGCAGTTGATTACTACACAAGGGTGGAATTGGCGATACTGAAACACTTCATTTAAACAAGTGAACCATGCTGACAACAAATATTCAACAAGGCTATTGGATGACATCAAATGCAGTTGTTTACTTGTTGATTTTGATGAGATCAACTACTCTGTTTAATATGTCTAGTTCTTGAAGACTGAGGTCCGAAGTCTTTTCCGTCCTAAGAATTGGCTTTTTCTAGAGTCTCCCAGGTGATCACAACCAGTAAAATAATAAATTATACAGATTGTCCCTCGCCCGTTCCGCAATACAGACTGTAGAAAGAGCCAGCACAAATTCCACTCTGAGCCCCTTTGCTTGTTATTATGCACTGACTTCAATTATGAGAAATGACAAATAGTCACAAACTCTTGGTCTTAATGCTACAGATGTCTTTAAAACAACCTGACTAACCCAAAACTAGTAAATTAGTCCAATTTGTGATTTTGTTGGTTGTCTGTCAAGAATATAAGCGTAAAATAATGCTCCTACACGTAGCATTCATTTCTGCTTATGCGTCTGTGACAGGCTTCAGTGAACTCGTCATTATCAATATGACTAGTAGATGCAATAATATATGTATGCACTGAAAATACAAAGAGGTCTTGCCTATTTATGGTTAAAGTGGAAACTAGAAAAAAATGATATTGTTCCAGAGCTGAGTGCCATTCCAATATGACAAGATTCTTCTACAATATCTGAAAACCTGAATGTTATTACAGTAATATCCTCGTTTTTTGTGGGGACAGTGAAATCCACAAACATTTTGAGACATAATTTTTGCTCATAGAGAAAATATGTTGTTTTTTTGTTTAAAAGATATATATTGCATTTTTTGTAATTACTTGTCGACAGGGCCGTCAGATATTTCCAAAAGAAATTCTTTACACGAGCTTTACTGTTTGAATTGTTAAGGTGTAGAAAACTTTGTCTAATGTTGAGTTCTTGGTTTTTATTACTAGGTAGATTACCTTCCATTGTTTATAGAAATACAGAAAAAGAAAACGTTCAAAAAAAAAAAAATCCTGTGACATCTTTTTTGCAATTGTACCGAAAGTGGCTTACTATTGAAGTCTGATAGCTTTTTCTAGTGACTAGGCGCGTACTGTGGGGTAGCGCGTGATGTGATGTGTAAGTGACAAGTTGGCAGTGTCGTTCACTGTATAGATGTCAATGCTGTGCTATTTAAAACAAATCTGTAGAGCTAAACTAGATGGTGTAAACAAGGTCAATTGTCTTTGTGCGTATTGGCATCTGTGATATCCTCCGCTTCCTTGGTGTTAGTTACAAATCATATTGTCATTAAGAGTTTACCACATTGAGCCATGTAAGACAGAATTTGGTGAAATGGCATTAGTGAACATTATTTCAAAAGACTTTTGAAGCTTCAAGCGATACTGAATAATGGTTGCACCTGGTGCTGGATGCCCTCTAAATACATCCCCCTGTAACCTGAAAGTAAATGACTTCATTATTGGTAAGACTTAATTATCATATTCATTCCAGCTGCTTACTTGGTCTGAATTAGATTGCAGGGATAGAGTGAATAACCCATAAAAATGATCTTTTGACAGACTAAATGAAAAAAAAAAAAACAGTTTTGCAGTTTAACTGTGGATGTGTTGTTTTTTTGTTGTTTTTTTTTCTCCAAATTTTGTTGACAAGCCTCGCAGCTTGTCACGGATATAACAATAAGATTGCATCAATAAACTTCAAAAGGTACAACATCGCTGTTGTAAAATTACCCTCTAGTCTTCAGAAAAAGCGGTAGGGTTTGGCTGAGGGTTTGTATGCACTAAGCTCCTGCTTGTTTTGCTCAGGACAAAATAGGTCGCTACGAATGGAAAAACCATTCTAGATGAGAAGCAAAGAGGCAGGGATGGCAGCTCTGTTATTTTGTTCTTTTTTTAATAATAAGCATGTCATAAAGGGCTTCAATCCACACTTAGAAAGAGACACAGCATGACCACGTAGAATTACAATCAACAACAGCTGCCAGCAGTGCTCCTTCTGTGCCAAGTGTTGCATCACTCTCCTGGTCCTCTAAAAGGAATTTAACACTGAAGCAGCTCTACACCTCAAGGTGAAAGTAGTTGTGTAATGACATTAACAGAATGCACTTCATCCAGATCTCACTCTCCTGCTGGTCAGAACGTCTTATATTGTCGGGGGAGGTGTTAATCTACAGTCACTCTCAAAACTACGTCTCAGCAAAAACTCCATGCCAGAGATCTGGGTGCTGGTTTATGCTGTCCGTGCGCAAGTATCCTATCCTCACTTTGTCAACATGCTTAGCTATCTGCATTGACTGGTTAACTGTGGGAAAATATATATCTGACTCTTGACATAGCCCAGTATTGATGTTGGCGTCCTTATTGCTGTGGCAGTCTTGTGGAGTGAATCTTTTTTGTGTCAAGTGTCTTTAAGGTGTTCGAGTGGCACTGTTGACCAATCTCTCAATCTCCTCTCGAGATGATGATGACTCTCTTTCTCACACATACAGGTGTATAGTATGTAGCTACAGTAGGTATTAATGACCATTGTGAAAAAGTGACCCTTAATATGCAACTCAGTGGAAAGGTGTGAAAGAGTAGATGTAAGAGTAATCAATATTGTCAAAGTTACTATGGTCTGTTATTTATAATTCTTGCTGTTTTGTAGTTTTTTTTTTGTAAAATGTGTTTTTATTTTTCCTCAGATTTTTTGCATCATTTCGTGAAAGAGCAATTGGCCCTTGTTTATAGTAGCTAACATGGAATAGTGAACAGTGTTTTAAAGGAATCACGGGACCGTTGCACTCAAGCCTTACTCAATTACTCTGGTCTTAAATTAGCTGATCCATGAATTGAACTTGGATATTGACTGAAAGATATTGCTAATATATAGATGTTTGTGCACTAAGTGGATGCTACATTACATTCTGTCACAAGGGCCACTTGCAATATCTGTTTTGTTTTTTTTCTTTGGTATACCTGTGTGCGTGTATGCGTGCGTGTATGTGTTCGTGTGACTGAGGTTCCTCTGCTGCTACACCAGTCATTAATGCTCGTCATTTGCTGTAGCACCATCCACAGCGTTTCTGTTCTCATCGTGCGTCGAGTGTGTATTTGAAATTGATCTTAACACTGTAATTTGTTCTGCAGATTTAATTTTTAATCGGTTATGGCTGTTTTTTTGTTTTTTTTGTTTATGGTTTTTTTGTTGTTGTTTTTGTTTGTTTGTTTGTTTTTACAAGCAACATGTTAGAGAGGATAAATAACAGCACTTGTATGGCAGTTGTATTTAATAGCTCTCAAGACATTGGCTTTTTTCATGAAGTTATGCTTTGTAAACGGTTGACTGTGCAGGTTTTTTCCTCTTACTCTATGGAGTGGGTCTGTGTTTCAAAGGTATACAAATCTGACTAAAGCGAGTAATACAAAGTTAATAATCTGTTTTGTTATTTTTCTGTATGGGTTGTAATAAAATATTGCAGTACTTTGTATGAAAACAGACAATAGTTAATTGTAACTATTTATAAATTAAATTATTGTACTTTTTGCAATCTGTAGATAAGTACTATGTATTCATATATACAGTAACAACTGTGGATTTAAACGTGATTCTCTGAGGTGTCTAAGTTATTGATGTATATATTGTATGTTTGTTGATACAGCTTACTTTATTTTCTATAAGACCAATAAAATGTTTTGGAAATGGATTTCACGCGTTACTACTTTGTCAATCGAGGCTTTTAAACACTGTTGAAATTGGGTTTTGTCATATTCTGTGGCGTCATTGACCCAGTTTGATACTTGTAAAAATAAACTGGCGGGGAAGGCTTTTTGCCGTCCAGGGTGGGTTTTAGAAGACAGCGATCATTTAGATGGCACAATTTCTTTTTCTGTGATCCAAAAAAAGCCGTTGGGCGACCCACTTTGGCTAACCTCAGTGGACATATTTTTGGCCCGACACGAGTAAAACATTAGAGTCATGAAGGATGTCTAGGTGTGCTTGTCCTAGATTAGGAGCAGTAGTGAGTTAGTCATCTGTGCTCCCTATGGAGCTCCTAAACCCCCTCTGTCTCAGCGCACCTCATCAAACATCAGCATCCTCAGCAGCGTTTCAACCCCAGCACATTCAAAACACATCTCCTGAGAGAGCATGCAGAGACAAAGAGACAGATGGCTGAAGACAAGCTACATCTTACCACTCCATCCTGCAGGGCAAGTCTAAGCCCAAGTGCCTCAGCGTGACTGCAGCGTGGTATTGTTCTTTGGTTCTCGTAAATGGAAGAGGCTTCTACAGGTCTGTGTGACCTGTACCGCAAAACGGGCTCCTCTTTCTCCTTGGATGCGTGCCCCAGACAACCGGATGGCCTCTGAAGAGTTGATTAATTTGGCGGGTTGGGTTAAGGTGAGCTGGTGGGCAATCTAGGACAGCATTCTTCATCTTCACCCACTTCTGCAGCAGGTGCCTGCCCTAGTTCTCAGACCACAACCCGCTGTACAATTAATGTTGCCATCCCCATCAGCAAGGCCGTTCATTTACCACGTCTGCCCTGCCAAAGCTTGGCACGGGGCTCCATTCTGCAAATAGCACAGGACATGCCTGTGTATAAGTGATGCTACACAAGGCGAGATTTCTATTTCCCTTTGTGAACATCAGCAATTATTTGAATCACTTAGAGCTGTTGTGTTGGTGCTCGTAAGGATGCAACAGAAAATGTTATCCCCATAAACACACTAATTTTTCAGACAGTTAGTGTTAGCCCAGCAGTCATTTAAAAACCCCTGTCCTGACTGAAGCTTCCAGCCAGCCAAAGAGACAAAGCAACAGATCCCGGGTTATTCAATATAGCTGCTTGCCAGGAAGTTGCCGTGCACCTGTTTAACAATATGTGGCCTTGGGTTTCCCTCTGCTGGAGATTTAGAGAAAAGACTTTATGTGATTTAACAGGGTTTTTCCACAAGATGACGCCACATTCTTTTAACAGAAGGATTAGAAGGATTTCCCCCACAGTGCAGTGTCTTTACCAAGCGGAAAAGATCATTGATTTTACCTCGCACACTGAAGCAATAAAATCATGGAGTGTATCCCAAAAATATTTCTATTCAGCGATTGGGAATATGCTGTAGACGTGTATTGCTTTGCTTTACCCACAATTTATTTTTCACTGTCCAGAGGTTATTGTTATTATTTTTGCCCTCCTCATATTGACCTTGTACATTCTGAAACCAGTTTCTTAGAGGCACTGTTATATCTCTAATATTGTATTAGATTTAATTATATTTTTTTGCTGGCATGTTGTTGCACAATACAGAGAGGTGTG